ATTAAGAGGAATAATTAATGGCAAACATTATTTGAGCTTGGATAAACAGACATTGACTTTTGTAAACTTATAATACAATTGACAAGACTGCATTTGGTGTAAAAATTAAGCTTTCAAACCAAAAATGTGTAAAGCTGCATGTATATAATGGGTTTCTTGCAGAAAGAACCAAAAATGATTTTTCTTTTATTTATTTAATTTATGCATGCTATTCATTTGCTTTTGTACATCATCATTTAATTTTAGCAGTGGTTGTGTTTTTTCTCAAGGTTTCTCTGGTTTTTTTTTTTGCTTTTGGTTCTTGCTTAGTATCATTGTTCTAAACTGATATTGCAAAAAAAGACAGTGAGTTGTCTAGACTAACTGACATTTGCCACAAAGATATTGTAAAAGTAACTGAATATTTATAAATGAACTTTTCCTGTAATGTAATGGGAGATAACTCTAGTTGTCTGAGATTAGTTGTTGGTTTCTACTGACCAGCATTAAAGACATATTGAGGTGGAAAAGAGTTGTTAAGGTTTCTACTGCCACTTGAAAGGGAGGGCATTTTTAGTTGTTATTCTTTAACACGTATAGAGTTTGACAATATATTTTCACTGGACATCAGAGGTGGATTTAGAAGGGGGCAGGGTTCCCTTATGGAGCTACATTTATGTTTAATGTAGACTGTTGACCTGTTCCACTCCAAACATTGTCTAGTTTGGGGACCCCTGGGGACCCCCATTTTCAAAATCTTGGATCTGCATCTGGACATATATATTGAACGCATATTAATGCACCCTGTAAAAACAAAACTGAAACTCTTTTATGGAGGGTTATACAAAAGGACATTTAAGAGACTGTTCTTCTCCAGGGACCCTAAAATTTATATGAAGTGCATACGGATTAGTCAATTTTGCAAAATCAGTACTTTGCTAAAATTCATGTTTTGATCATGCAGTCAGTTTTAAATTTATATAGGCTTTTCATATTTAGTTTCTATATGATGAATTTATATTTTGTACTCAAAACACCTATGATGAATATTAATTAGCATTGATTTCCATACCCATCCTATCTCTTTGATATTGACTGCACCTATTACCTCAGGACCTTCTATGTACCAGTAATGTCTATTCCAGCTATGTTAATTCCACAGTCAGTAAAGGTTAATACAATAAAATGTATAGATTTATTGCTAGAAGGGGAAGGAAGCTTGTAATGGAACAAATAATATAAAGTTTACCGATCAGTTGCCAGATTACATAATTTGATCAACAGTTAGGCCAGAATTATATTATTTGCTTCAAATTTTTATTTCATTTACAGTAATGTTCATTATCACTATTTTGTGTATTTTTCCTTTGGCCTTTTAGTGATAATTTTTCATATCATGCTACTTGCTTGAGATAGAAAATTATCGTAAGAAACTAAGGGCGCATGTGACGTTGTCAATGTAAACATCAACAACATCATAGGCAAAATAGCGATAAACAGATTGACAATGATCTTTCCAACTCTGGATGTTTCTCTGCCACATCTCATCCCTGAAATGTCACCCTTTGATGAGATTGAAGGTGAGGAACACCCTCTGGTTTCAAAAACCATGATAATCTATAATTATTTGTCATCTGACAATATAATAGAAAAACAAAGGATATGGCAGTTTATGGAATAAACTCATTCCTCTTTTCTTAAAATATAAACTTTGAGTTCAGCTCAATTAGTTTAATTATCGCCCTGATATGTAAGAATATCATGCAAATGAAATGCTGTTAATTTGGATATTTTAATTTCTGATTTCAGAACAATGTAAAAGCTGTCTGTTATATATTATGTTGCAGACTAGTATAATTTGAAAAAAACCTCTCCATCAATATAAAGACAATTTGTGTTTGAAAAGAGATTTAAAATGAATGAATGGGATATAAGAAAATGAGGAAAGTCATAAAAAGTTTTAATTCATCCTGAAAACCTGTGTAAAAGGGAATATAGGCTGGAAAATCTGAGAATTAAAGTGTAGTGGCCTTACTATCAATTTCATTCATAAAACTTCTGTATAAGTGTGGGTGGTTGGAATGTTTGCTTTTGAATTGCATGCAACCACAATTGTATAAATTTAGCACTTGGAGATTTCATGTCAAATAAAAAAGATTAGCAATACATTTTATGGCATTGATTTCTCATAGGTAAATCTGTTAATTTATTAAAATACCTGATAGTTATGATGAAAGGTTTTATGAGTATTGAGTCTCAACATTGGGAATATTGAATTCTTGTGATCCTTTGACTGTATCGATGTTTTCCAGAGGCAAAGTTAAGATGATGTGGGGCAAATGTCAATAACAAGAAAGCAACCCAAGACCACAAATAACCAAAAATCATCTACATGTCAACATAAAGTCTGTAACAAAAGACAGGTGTCTATAAAATATGTCTTAATAAGCTATCAGTATGTACAGATTTCAACATGATTATAGAATAAAAGATAATAGTTTTTTTTCACTCAACCTGGACTCATTTTTCTGACTCAGAGATGACCAAAAACAATTTGGGTCCATTTCTATTTAAATTTGAAAATATGAATACATGTTTAAGAGATTTGTAGGGTTAAATGTTAACAAAATAGCAACCAGCCAACACTAATTCACTACATAATAAACTTTTATGACATCTTTACACTAAAGCCATTGAATGTGTGCTGATTGATATTTTGTCTTTGAAACATGGTTTTATTATTTGTTGTTATTGGCTTGGAACTTAAGCTTTCAAGTACTCTCAGATTGGTCTTTAGTGTTTTTGTTAGTTGTTTGATTGCTTTTTATCGATCTGATATGATTTTTTCAATTGATTTTTACAGTTTGTTCTTATGCTGTGCTGTTGCACCACAGTCCCAGGTTAGTGGGAGGGTTGGGCCACAGTAAATATGCCTGCCATATTCTATATGTGCCTGTTCCTTAGTCATTAGCCTGTAATTCAGATGTTGTTGTTTGTTATATATATCATATTTGTTTTTTGTCTGTTGATTTGTACATGAATTAAGCCATTGGTTTTCTCATTTGAATTGTTTTAAATTTTGTTATGTGTGGCCTTTTTTAGCTTGCTATCCAATATGGGTTTTGCTCATTGTTGAAGGCTGTAAGGCTATCTATAGTTGCTAACATCTAAGTCATTGGGTCTCTGGTGGATAGTTGTCTAACTGGCAATCAATACCACATCTCCTTATTTTATATTCTTAAGATTAACATTTAAACAGCCATTAGGGGCAAGTACTTACTTATTAATTTGCAAACTCGAAATTGAGTCATGTTGATGAGATCCAACGTCTTATGTAAAATTCCATAAAAATGCATGCATAATGACCCTAAGAACTAAGGTTATAACTTAACTAATTGCATTAGTTTTCCAGAGAGTAGTCCTAGTCTGATATCGTGGAATTACATTCTTTGGGTTATATAGTTGGCCTGTTTTATAAATTTGAAGTGAAACTTTCTCAGAGAAAATATTCCTGCATACTTATATCCTGTTTCTCATTATCTTCTTCGTGTCCATTTGTACAGAAAAGTTGATTAAGTACAAGTGTTATTTTCCAATATCAGATAAGGATACAGGGATGGATAAAACTCAGTAAATATTGGAACTTCAAATATGCTGTTGTAAGTAATTTTTTCCTTGATTGATTAATTTTGAAAAGATTTGATTGTTAATGGGAGTGATTGAAGACTGATGGGATCTTAGTCATTTATACATTTCTAGGTTTTAGTTGATCTATCATTACCTATACTTGCTGTTGTCGTGAGGCAGCAGAAGTGGAATTTTCAAGGCAAATCAGAAAATAAAAAGTTTGCATTTCTTGACAGGACAAGGAAAAAAGTGTATTGAAATCTTATATGGGAGGGGAACCTATACATCATAACCACTCCCCAAAATCACAGTCTACCTTTGATGATCATAGTTATTAAAGATTAATTAACTGCTTGCCACTTCAGCCTCAGCTGGCAATGTTTCAGTTTCTTTTTAGAACATGAACAAGTTAAAGAAAACAGGTTGAACCATTCCAAACTTAACTAGATATTTGTAGGAGGCTTTTCCTAAGTTAAATTGATGCAAGCATGCTGCATGCAAATCTCTTAAATACTTATTTTAATTTTTGCATCAGCAGCATTTATTATTGCGATTTTTTAAGAATGGACATAACTGCGAGATTAATTGATGGAAAATCTGCATATAGATATATATATATCAAATTCAGAACATGAGTTCTTATCATTGTGGTATTCTTCCGATTGCATTATTCGTATTAATGATAATCTCGCAATAATTTCAGAATTTACAGTATTTCATTCTAACTAGTTGCAACCTAGTAGATAATTGCAGAACATTGGACAAGCAAATTATATAAATGCAAGCATTTTTTCTACTATCATTCAAGCTTAATTTTTTCACTGCAAGATTCTAGCTGCATGCAATTAGGAGTAAGACAATTTTGACTGATACTGAAATAAGAGTGCATGTTGAGTAGTTGGAAACTCTTTATTCAAACATTCCATCTACCTACCTCCTTTTACAGAAGTATAATATATGTAGTCAATATAAGCCATTTGGTCCTACAGATATACTGAACAACTTTGAATATTTCTTTTCTACTGGAATTTCAAGGCTGAATCCTATTCATAAAAAAATTAGCTAATGCATATTTTGGCATAGTTATTTGATATTGAACCACCTCTATAGTTTCTGAGAAGTGTGCTTGTCTAGAGTACAGGAAATTGCGAGTTTGATCTCTGTCAGGATAAAAAAAAATGTAAAATTTTAATACCACATAGGAAGCATTCTACACCACATATTGAAATTCAATTGACATTTGTAAATTCTTGGGAGTCGAAAGGGTTGGATTTTTTTCAGGCAATTGATTTACATAGCACAGGGATATGTCCATTTTAAAGAAAAACATTAGGTCTTAAATCTATTAAAAAGTATAAGGAATACAGTGTTAGTATGTATATTTTTTTTTTCAGGAAGGCTGAATACCAAACTAGACACATGAGTTGAAGAATGATTAAGAATTTACCCTTGGTTATAATACTTGCATTCTATGTTTTGATATATACAGGTAATGTTATGTAATTATACCCTATACAACAAAGTGTTTTACCTGTCTGTCTGTCTGTCTGTCTGTCTGTAATCACTTTGTTGGTGCCTGTTATAGCACCTTCATTTTTTCTGAAAGGAAGATATATGATAAGAGCCAATAATTAAAAAAAATTAGTAAAATTCAATTCTTTAAAAAGTATGTTAATTATAATGATAGATTAAATAGATACTATAAAATTGCCATTTTGTTACAGAAATGTCACTTATGATGTCCCTGTGAAGTCAAAATATGTAAAAGAAGATGTAGTATGATTGCCAATGAGACAACTCTCCACAAGAGACCAAATGACACAGAAATTAACAACTATAGGTCACGTACGACCTTCAACAATGAGCAAAGCCCATACTGCACAGTCAGCTATAAAAGGCCACGAAATGACAATGTAAAACAATTCAAACGAGAAAACTAACGGCCTAATTTATGTACAAAAAAATGAATGAATAACAAATATGTAACACATAAACAAACGACAACCACTGAATTACAGGCTCCTGACTTGGGACAGGCACATACATACAGAATGTTATACAGAATACAGAATACCCTCCCCCTAACCTGGGACAGTGGTGTAACAGTACAATATAAGAACTAACTATAAAAATCAGTTGAAAGAGGCTTAACTCATCAGAGCGATAAAAATACAAATACTAAAAATACAAGTGGACGTGGCCGGGTACTTGTACATCCAAACAACAAAAAGACACTAAGTACAGATCTGAGAGTACTCGCAGTTACTGACAGCTAGTTCAAAGCCACTAACAACAAATAAAAAAAATCATGCATCTATGACTAAATTATCAATCAGTACACATCCAACATCCAATGGATTTAGTGTAATGACGTCATAAACAGTCAGAGAAAAACATGACCTTGTGCAATGCCAAGATACAGGTATTGACAGATTGTAGATCCTTGAATGTGTATATGTATATAACAATAATATTTAGTTTGCTTTTAATTTACTGATAACAAAATCAATATTAGTACCAATAAAAACAATATTTAATGATCTAATAACAGTGTTGAATTGGTAACCTTTTAGAATAAGTTTATTTTAAGGATTGATAAGTTTACCAGGATCGTTTCTAAATTTCCGGGCACGGTAAACAATATTGCCGTAAAAACGAGGATGTGCAATCCCGTTTGAAATAAGTTTTCTACAGGTACAACCAAACTTCAAAACCAAATCTTTATATCTGTGGAAGAATTTAGTAAAGGTAACGAAATCCCTGGCTTAATAATTTACCAGTAATACATAGATTACGTTCGTTTCATGTTTCAATTGAGATTTTGAGGGATTAAGGTAATTTTACCCACAATTTTCCATAACCAGTAGCCTTACCACGAAAGAATTTTTACTTTTCTCAACATTTTCGAGCTAGATTTTTTTTTAGGGTATTAATGTTGCTCACATTTAGATATTTAATGACAAGATCTCAAAATGAGGGTATTGTGGCGGTTTTTACATTTCCTTCTCAATTGTAAGAATTTCAAAAGCTCAAAACAAAATATTTCTTATTTTAAATGTTAAAATTTAAAGTATGTTATTGAAAGATTTATAATACTTTTACAGACTATCTCCTTTAATAATTTTTTGAAATCAAGACCAGTCTAGATGAGAAGTACCCGACAAAATTTTGTAAAAGATGTCTTCAATTTGTTTTTAATGAATTTGAGAGAATCGTAAAACTTACCTTGCAGTATTTCATATTTTGAAGAATAAGTTTTGCAGTGATGTTCAACTTTTCTAGATAAATATAAGAAGATGTGGTATGATTGCCAATGAGACACTATGCTCTCCAAAAAAAAAAAATGAAGCTTAAATATATAGTTGTTCAAAACATAGAATTAAAAATTGAAGATTATATGAAACTGATTACCTTAAAGATGTAATATGCACATTAATAATTACTTTATACACAGAATTTGTCATCAAACAGAAAAAAATATGATTTAGCTTATGTCATCAAACAGAATTTACTAATTAACACATTTATGTTAATTCATCAGTTGCACTTTTTTGCATATTATAAAGAACAGTCATCTTTTCCATTTTAATAATCAATATTCGAAAGTACACACAATCCTTGATCTTAATATCAGTAAAAGAAATAAAAATAAAAATTTAAGCTCAGGCTTCATTAGTAAAACTTCCTTCATCCTCCTTTGCAGTAAGTCACCAAGTTGTGTAACATACAGTCAATGTTCCAGAATTTTAGCTGTCTAATCATTATATGGGTGTATCAAAAAGGTATGACATAGGTGAAAAAGCATATCTAGGAAAAGGGCAGTAACATTCATATTCCCAGGGTAATAAAGTATTAAGCACTTTCAGAAATTAATCATTGAACTGTAATCTGAAAGTCACCTGGCTGGTAGTAAATTGACTTTTCAACAGTACTCCAAAAATCTAAATGTACAAGTTGTAAAGCCATATAGAAATTGTTTTTTAAATTCTAGCTTAAGTAATCTGAAGAATAAGAAATGATTGTTTGCTTAATGTCCAGTGACAACTTTACATGCATATTCAGTATGAGAACAAATAAAGAATAAATTCAGATTCTGCAAAGTTGGTTGATAAGTATGAAAGGCAGACAATAAAGACTTCCATAGAAAAAGGGTAGGTTTAATACAGGCTGAAATTTTGCCTTGCAACATGCCACTTACAAAACGCTCCAAGTTGATGTGAGGGTTATTAAAAGTACAGTGTGTGTGTTTATTTTACATATAATTCAAAGGAAGATATATTGTGTGTCATTTGGTATTAAAATCTGTAGTTTAAATTTTAAAGTGTCAGTTCAAAAACTTCAGCTTGCCCACCTAACTAAAAATGTTCTTTTTTGGTAACCCCCACATTTTTATATCTTATGTTTCTTTCACTCAATCATTGAGTTACCTTGACTGCCATAGATAAATAGCTTAACGTATTCTGTCAATGATAAAGGACTAACTATCATTGAAACTATGGAATACAATGGCCGGCCTTACGTGAAAGTGACTTTCACAATGCTAGTCACATATGAATATTGCATTCTATATTTTGAACCTTAGTTACATTTGGTTAACTTTGTATTTTATAAGACATGAGTATATGATTTGTTTCCCTTTAGAATGTTTAATTATGAATTTATCACTGCATGATGTAACAAAATTCGGTTATTTAATGATTCAAAATTGCCCGCTGCCAACTATAAGTGTATGCAAGTCATCCAGAAAATTTTATGGCAAAATTTATAATACAGTTATCTTGAACCATAATATGTAAAAACCACATACTTCTTCCTGTCACACACTAGACCTCAGATCCTCAATCAGATTATTATGGGCCTTTTATGAATGAGTTACTTTACATTTTTTTTTGTAAAGAACTTCCGATAACAATACTACATTTAAAACCACAAAAGTGTTTAAAAATTTTAAAGCCTTCTTGCATTATTTGTTTTATTAGTAAAGATACTCTAAAAGTTATTTTACAATTGATTACCTAGTTGGTTTTTTTTTCATTGAATCGTAAATACTTGACATTAGATGTAAAGTCAATTTCATTCAGCCAAATTGACGTGAAAAAGATTTTCTTGTTTTGATCAGTTTCAGTATATTGATTGCTGATTCATAAGAATTTTTGCTCATTCATGCAAATGATTTTTTCCACGGCCCATTTATGATCATGACTATAGAGAATTAAGTCAGTTAGATGTAGGCAATATTTTGCTATATATACTATGGTAGTTTTGAATTTGGAAAATATTTTTGAATTTAATAAAAATGAAGATTTTTTATGATTATATACGCTTTTGGATATTGATATTTGTTGAGAAAGTTTTGCTATGTGCTGGAAGAGGTATTGGTTTTAACTGTGACCCCTTCATAGGTAAGAAATTAAATGTGATATAGACACTTTGGTAGGTTTACATATATATATATATTGGTCACATATGTAATGTTTAAAATATTGTTTAGACTATTTAGTTCTTTTACAAAAATTTGAATCAGTTCAATGATTATTGATGACAGAATTTATAAGCTCTCTTGTCATTTTGACTTTTGACTTTTTCCAGAAGTAACACTTGTTCATAGCTTTTTACACAATCATTGGGAGGTAAAAATAACAATTTTTTGGGGATTTTGAGAATTGCTCTGATGTTTCAAAGATTACATGGTAGGCTTATTTGGCTTTATTTCTGCTAAATTGTCCTTTTTAGTAAGGTATAATACACACATGAATAACTAGTTAATTTCCCAGGGGTTCACTGATTACAATTTTTATGCAATAAAAAATAATTCTCTGATCTTTTTTAAACTTTTATAGCACTATTTCACCTTTTATTCTTGTTTTATAGATGTAAGGATATAAAAAGTTTATTTATAGTAAAAGTAAAAGTTAAAGGACAATTTCTGTATTGATTTTTACTTCATATTTTTAAATTTGTAAGTGTATATATAATTATGCCCCTGCCATAGCTCGCCGTAGCAGAGGGGGCATTAAGTGTTACCCTTGTCCGTCCCATCCGTCTGTCTGTCTGTCCTGTCTGTTTGTCTATCCGGTCAGTCCGTACATCCCCAAAATTGGTTTCCGTTCTCTTACTTAAGTTTGCCTCAACCAAGTGTTATAAAACTTATACACAATGCTTATTACCACAAAACACAGTTCAAGTTCGTAATTGGGTGGCCTCACTTTTACCAATCATGAGTTATGCCCCTTTATAAACATAAAAATTGCTGAATTTTTCGTTTCCGTTCTCTAACCTTAGTTTGCCTTAATCAAATGTTATAAAACTTACACACAATGCTTATTACCACAAAACACAGATCAAGTTCTAAATTGGGTGGCGTCACTTTTACCATTCATGAGTTATGCCACTTTATAAACATAAAAATTGCTGAATATTTTGTTTCCGTTCTCTAACTTTAGTTTGCCTCAACCAAATGTGATGAAACTTCTACACAATGCTTATAATCACATAACGGTCTTAACCACGTGTATCCTCCATCTGTATGTTGAAGTTGACTCTGCATATTTACAAGCGGGGCCATCTGTGGCCCATGGACACATTTTCCATTTATTTAAAAAGTTAAATTAAATGTAAGTTACTGTACATGTGTTTTCATATTAAACAATTTAAGATAAGACTTGTTCATGCAATAAATTATTGATTTTAAAAGTGGAAAATGACAAATATGGCCTGATTTCTGGCTGCATGGGATGAAACCATTTAATAAAATATGATGCTTCCATGCACAAAATGCAATAACATATACATTACTGTGGATTCATTATTTGTTGGATACCAATTTTTCGTGGATTTCTTGTGTATAGGTAAACCACAAATTTAAATGTCTCCCCAAAGTACACATTTTTTATAGGATTGTATACAGACATTGGCAAATCCACAAAATTAGATATCCATGAAGAAACAAGTTTTCCTTGATCCACGAAAATTGTATCAATGAAAATAAATGAATCCACAGTAGTCGATTTGTAATGTATATAGTATATCCAGTATTTGACCATAATGTGCTCTAAACAAGGAATTATTTGAATCTGGAATAATTTTGAATTCTGGAAAATTGATGAGAAATATATGATGAAAACTAACCCAACTAAATAGGGTTAGCCATGCACGCATGGCTAAGGTGGGTCAGTTAGTTCATACTGAAATGATAGTGAAAGTAAAATTAACCTTAGCCATGCACGCATGGCTAACCCTATTTAGTTGGGTTAGTTTTCATCATACATTTCTAATCAATTTTCCAGAATTCAAAATTATTCCAGATTCAAATAATTCCTTGTTTCTATACATTATGACAAATTAATCAGCTCCATATAAGAATACATCCTAAATAAATTTAAAAAATTGGTAGCAACATGGAATGTTTCAATAAATGATTGATTGTTTAAAGTAGAATGTCACAAATAAAAGTATTTTTGAATAATTTTCAGAGGGCTGTGGTAGAACTCCTTCTCAACCATCACCACCAGCAACTACACCTCGATCTAGTGAAAATTCTACAATACCAGAAAATCACAGATTATCATGTACAGAGAACGAGACATATCAGACAGCATGTCTGAATGGTGGATCATGCTTTGCCACATATGTAGAGTATAGGACCATACAGTGTGCGTAAGTATTTTTTGAAGACTTTCAAGCAACAGGAGAACTTGTAGTACCAACTGCAAATTGAAGATTCATTCATACTCAAAACTGATATATAATGCATGTCCTGGAAAAATAGTTGCTTTGCTGTTGTGTTTTCAGCTCAAACCACTAAGCGGCCAGATCATAGGGTTATCCATGTTTATCTGTAGTGATTTCTTCTGTCTTTCATTCCAAAATCCTACAGTTTACACTGATGTTTGGTTTATAAGTGTATACATGTGATATAGCCGAGGCATAATTCTCTGCTTTGTTATTTCTTTTCCACATATCCGGTGTTCATTTGATTTGGCAGGATATATAAATAGGCAGAGAAGAGCAATGATTGCTGCACTTCATCTGAAGTATCAGACATAAATCTTTAATCATGAATAGGAAACTTGTATCTCTAATTAAGTTACTACCATCAGCAGAATGTGTACAAACTGTCAGTATGTTGAAGATTTTACTATAAAAAAAAACTTATTTTTTAAAAATGTTTTGTTTGTTTCTTATTGAGTTAGTTGTATGATTTTCAGGTGTCCAAAGAAATATGTAGGTGACCGTTGTCAGATGATAGATCCTACCATTATATTTGGTAGTAAGTATAAATTATTTAAGTTGTTTGTCAAAGGATGTCATTATCATATTTTTTTTTTACTTTTTTCTAAAATACATGGTAACTTTATATGATTTGAAAAACATTAAATAAAGCAAACTACATTACAGTTATGTTGTGATTAAACAGTGGTTGATTCAGGATTTTCAAAAAAGGTAGATCCTGCAGGGGCCTACCTAAAATGTTTGCCAAAAAAGGACGGGCTGTAAAATAGAAATGTGCTGAAAAACACAAATTTTTTGGTCACAAGGGGGGACCTGATAAATAATGATAATTTCAATTTGCTGCACAAATGAGCAAATTTCTAGGCATTAGGCAACTACAGATATCATTAAGCCAGCGTTTCCAATCTAGTATGTCTTTATGGAGGCTGATTCATAAGGGGTCTTCATATTATGCAAAAAATTTAAAATACACTGAACTTAATTGTACAAAAATGCACCTTTGAAAAAAGAAAAATTGAAGCTAAGAAGAAGTGGGTTGCATCATAAGAAATGTGCGAAATAATTTAAACTTCATTTATGCGGTGAAATACGTTACAGTGAATTGAGTATTTATTGGAGTTAAAAACAAATATTTGAAGTTAATGATAAAATTTCTTGAAACAAGCATTAAAAAGAGAAAGTCAAATTATTACAAGCTTCTTATTAATGTTTATATCAGATGCATATCTATCATAAACTGTCCAGTCCAAGAATAATCACACCATTTTATAGTATATTTTTCAATTGATAATTTGTCCCCTCAAAATTATATTTATTTTGATGATTTTAACTAAGAATCCAAATTGACCTTACAATTAACAGTCATAGTTGATTATTGATTTTGTATAGTAAACATCAGTTACTAAATACATCATTATGTGTCAGATATTCTCTTGACCAATTTATCTGAAAAACTATAAAATTGATGAATCAATTAAAGTAATCAAAACTGGGTGGGGACCTCACATGTTGTATTTTAGTTTGGTTCAAACTTCAAAGAAAGATGGGTGACACACACAATTATTTAATTGAACATTTACAAGAAAAGTAATAGCAAGCATGCAACTTATCTAAAATGTTTTTTTTTCATTCACCATGTAAGTTATGGTCAGATGAAGTTCAAGGATATGTTCTGTTAGTCTGTTTTATAAACAGGACTGTATGAAACGATGTGATGAGCTTCAAAACACATATCATATGAAGATAGCATGATGGAAGATAATTCTCCTCACTTGTTTTTATGATTGAATTTATAATGTTAGGTGGTTTAGAACACATACTTACATCGCTTAAAATTTTCATTAATGGAGTGTATACAGAGAAAGAGGAGAAATAAAAACAGAAATATTTATTTATTGTCCAACCTACTTCAGACGCAATACAAGATAAATTGTGGCTTTAAAATTAGTCTGAATATATAGATTAATTACATAAATGTTTAAAAAAAAGTCAGACTTAAGCTGCATTTTTAGTTCTTACAAGCAGAGTGTTTCTTTCAACTAAAATGTATGTTTACCACTAGAAGTTCTGATTTTTTGTTGTTGTAGGGTAGTGTCTCCTTTTATTCATTATTCAAATGTTGATACAATCTATTTTGTATTCTATTTCTCTTGAGCTGGATAATTTTTGTACAGTTTTGAAATAAAACATTGCTTTAATACACAGTTTTGTGTGAAATGGTAACCATTTGATAGAGTTTTTTGTCACATGGTGTATATTTCCAAACTTCCTATATTCTGAGACAATAGATAGGTTTCGATATGACTCAGTTTTGAGTTATTCTCTTGGCAAATATTTTTGAGTTCTTATTTGACTAAACAATTGAAACATGCGGAGCAACCAATTCTGATGAGAGATTCTTGCTAGATCATATTGAAGAATCAAGCAAGGCTAAATAAAATTAAAGTATTTAGAAACCAGGTTTTTCTAAAATCTAGCAGTCAGTATAGCCAGTTGAATTTTGCTGATTAATGAAAGAATTTGTGCACATAGACCTCCATCATGGCATCAAAAGGGAAATAATTCTTGCTCAAATTGTGTCAATTGATGCCTATCTATAGCATGAAATGTACATTGTGTTTGGAGTCTACCAAATAGTAAAATCCTCCTACATATTTACCTGTTTAAACTTCACAAACAATTTGGAATTTATTACAAAAATTATTTACAGTATAGATTTTATCAATAATCTTTTTTTATTTTGTAGGAGAAAATGAAGAGAAAGTGACAAAAGCAGGTTTAGCTGCAGGATTAACAGCTCTCATCTTATTTTTAACAGTATTAATATTTATACTCATTTGGCACAGGCGGTAAGTGCCCTGTACAGTTGTGAGAAAAAAAGCACCTATAGTCATTTTTTAATCTTTAAGAATTGGAAAATTTAAAATGATGTAAACTGGGAAAAAGATGTAAGAAATATTATTAAAAACAAAAATACAAGGCATTAGTGATGATTACAGTGGGGTATGACAACATCTCAAATAGCTTTTGCTTTCACAAAAATGCATGGAGGAAATATATTTCACCAACATGCACCTTTCTTGAACCAATATATTTTTGTTCAAAGGAGTTGTCAATGTTTCCAAGATGGAAATAATTCTTTTAAATTCTTTGAAACAGCTTAAGCTGGAACAATCTACAGTTGGAGATTTCAACATTGTTCATGGCAAACTGAATGTAGAAAAGTAATTGTTTGATATTGTAAAATAAATGATTGCTTTTTAACTCAGATATGACACAGTTCAAAATTTAAAGCTAAATAGAAAATATCTCTGACAGTACTCCTTTTTATTTTGAATAGTGTAATACTGGTAACTATTGCATATCATAAGAATAAGATTATGTAGAATATTTCATAACGATTTGTTCTATTTTTTCAGATACAAAAGAAGAAAAGATAGAGAAAAACAAAACAAAGAAAAACAACTAATACAATATAATAATGGTGATCTCAATAATGGCAATTACAAGGTTAGTTGTTATTGTACATGAATGATTTAAGAGTAAAACCACTAATCTTGGTCTTTACATACTGGTAATTCTACTTGCCTAGTGTATGAGTCTACTGTATAACATGTATTTTACATGTAACTGTATTTAACTAAATAATGTATATATATATGGAAAGAACAATGAATCTAAATGTTAAAACATCATTTGTTTTTTTTTCAGGTTTAATGACTTCATGTATTTTGAAACAATTGTTAGAAGGAGATAACTGATTAATTTTCATGATTTCACTTGCTTACTTAAATATAAGGTGTCAAGAGTGCAAATATTTGTAATGCATTTTCCATTGGGTACCAGTGGTGTTCCATATTTTATTTCTTGAAGAATAAACAAACTACAAAAACATTTGTAGCAGTTCTTTTTACTAGAAATGTTAGCTTTTTATTACATCCAAAAAAATATATGATCATGTGGCAAAAACTGACATAAAATGCCGTTGAAAAAAACCCACCTATTTTTTCATTTAATAAGAAAGGCAATTTTTAATGGCTCCCTCGTAAATAAATTGAACATTTTCCTACACTTTGTTAAATATGACTTTAATTTTCTATTATTTTTTTTTAAATCTAATTGGATAAGCTTTCAATTAAAAATAATTCCTACCTTGTATCATCCAATCAGGCGTCCCATAAGATTTTATTCTGAGTACCATCTTCGCCATTTAATTGAAATGGAAACAAACAATTGCGCTCTTGTAACCATAATGCTTATATAGTGCTAATGTTTTATAATACTAACATGCATTCAGTATATTATATTAAGTTACAATTTTATTTATTACAGCCTGCCTTAACTAGCAGAAACAGAGATAGTTATGTTGAATCAATTCCATTAACTTCTTTACCTTATAATGTAAGTAAATCTACTAGCTTAGAATCTGGAAAACTTCATACCTATGTAATTCTTACTCAAAATGTAACAAAAGCCAATCATGGTGACTATAAGTGATATAATACTAAGGAAATGTCGTATGATTGCCAAATAGACAACTATACACCAGAGACCAAAGGACTAGGATGTAAGCATATAGGTCTTCAACAATGGTCAACACCCATACTGTATAGTTAGCTATAAAATGTCCTGAGATGACAAAATGTGAAACAATCCAAAAGTGAAAACCAATGTCCTGATTTACAAATATTTATAAATTCCAAAGAGAAAACTAAAGACCTAAGCATGTTATATTTTTAAAATAACAAGAAATCGGATAGATGAGAAAATAATCACAAAAATCAAAAGTTGACGCTCACTGGATGGAGATGAGCATAAAAACACATCATATGGAGACTTTTAAGAAAGTTACAGTATATAGAGTTTAAAAGCAAAGTAAAAAAAAAAAAGCAATGAAGATGCAAAAACAACAAGATTTTACAATTTATAAATTATAACACAAATATATATTTAATAGAATGAGTAGATTGTAAGTATATTAGCTTGTTGTCAAATTTCACATATTTTCTTAGTAGATGTATATGTCACTGAAAGTGTGTCTAATAAAATTGCTCAACTAGACTTGCTGTGTATATTAAGGTTTTATCACTATCTTTTTTTCAATGACAATAATCTGTTCTATAAATTTGTAAAACACATGATGAACTTCTTATGATTTCTTTGATGAAAACAACTTGTTATAAATAATTGGGTATTAGTTGTTGTATCCCCAGCTTGTAATTAGCCATTTATTTTATGCTACAAGATGTGTTAATTCAATTGATCATATTGTAGATGAGAAAATTACTAACATTGAATTGGGTGCTTTCTAATTAAAAATACTGCACATGTGTAATGGTGGTAATCAACCAAATATGGAAACCTATTATATTTTTTTCAATATACAGCTTTAAAGGAGCCACCATACATTTGATTTAAAACAAATAAATTGTTACATTTGCCAATACTGCTTTAAGCCTATAAACATTACTACAAGGCCTCGTGAAACTTTCACACTGCTATATTTTTCTAAATTTCAATTATAAATGTCAATTTCTCTTAATTTTTACCCTAAACTAGGAATTGAATGCTTCTTTTTGTAATTTTATTAGGGTGTAAAAGGTTGACCGAAGCACATTTTGTATTAAGTGCAGATGTGCTTCATACTAAAGATGTGCACACGAACAACACTTTTACAATCCTATAAAAGAACAAAACATTCAATTCTAATAATTGCTATAAAAATGAAATTTCAACTAAAATCAAGTGTATGCATTATTGTAACCGTCATGGAAAGCACATGCAGTCAAAAAATTTGCATTTTATTGGGAAACAAATCATAATATTGGAATTTCTTGCGATGGTTGTATGTCAATCAAAGTAACAGAATCTTATGATTAATTGATTGATTGTTGGTGTAAAATGCCACTTTCAGCACTCTTGGCTATCTTGGGGCTCCAGTTTTAATTGGTGGTAGAGGCTGGAGTGCCCAGAGAGAACCACAACCTTCAGCAAGAGAAATGTCAATCCTAGTCAATTAAGATCAGAGTCGAATGCACCTGCCAATTGCAGGGTTTGAACACAGAACCTTAGTGTTGACAGGTCTAGTGATACTGTAGATGAACCCCTTAAACTACTGGATGGAGGCCCCTGGAATCTTATGAAACATACATAGAAATAAGATGTGGTATGAGTGCCAATGAGACAACTATACATGTTTTGTTTAAAATTTTCATGAATAAGATGAAAATATCTTAATTTCAGTTTTCAGAATTTCCATTGATAACTTTAATGATAATTTATTTATCAAAATGTGTTTAAAAATACTGTCCTATCATGCATTCACAACATCTGCTGAATACTTTTTGTCAAGAAAACTCTTTTTGCCTCTGATAAAAGAGTGTAAATACTCATCTATTGGATTTTGTATGAACATTAGACCCTTACTATTTTAATATGGATATGTTTTTTTATTGCAGCAAACAGAAGAAATCCATAAAGAAGAAGAAAAACCGTTACAATTAAGTCAAAACTCTAGTTTTTCAGACAGTGATAGTAGAAAATTATTAGCGTCTATTAAATACATGGATGATGATGACGATGGTGCTTCTCCAGAATTTGTATAGCATATCAACACATATAACATTTCATTTGATCTGAAGCATGTCATGTGATATTCTCCATTTGATTCATTCTCCATTTAATGTCAGCAAGTGAGTTGCACTAGTTTGTCAAAAGCAACAGTAATTTTGCAACTTCATGATTTCATATCAAAGTCATTTATTTGAGGCATTTCAAGCATCATAATTGAGCAACAGCATCAAGGGGGATAATTCATAGATGTTCATGCAGGGAGATAACTGGATATTTGACTAACTTATTGGTATGGAACACAGAAATTCATTTTGTGATATACAAAAAGACATTTGAACAGTGATAGAAAAGTTCCTATGGTTGAATTACATTGCACCAGAAGATGTTATGTTTCTGATTTTAAAGTGAATGAAATTATATTTAGTACATTTTGTATTTGGCTGTTTAGCTATCTGTTTTGGCACAGGTTAGCATTTTGTCTGATTTCTTGATAATTTCATAAATTTCAAATTTTTTTAAAAAAGATTTAGATATGGTGAATGGTTGAAGGTTTTACATACTATGCCAGAATTTAGTCAATAAATTATGCAAAATGAAAATAAAAATAAAAGCCTGCCATTCTCTGTTAAAAAAAAAAGAAAATCATAGGTATGAATTTAAAAATGTATAAAAAAAAAGGAAAATTTTTAGATTTATGCTAAAATACTGACAAATATTTAAAACCTGAAATTACATTTATTATCACATATCTTGCACTCTGTAAAAACATTATTATTTTGACATAACCATGATATGTTCGGTCTGTACAATTTTGAATATCTACACTTGTTCAGACAGAGACTTTTCATCAGTTTCATTTTTCTGTGATTTATGCAATAGAAAATTTTATGATAGCAGCCATTTCATTTTAGTTAAATTCATTATAATTTATTTTCATTATATATTATCATTTCAGTTCATTGTAAAATAGTTTGTCATTGTTTATATTTAACAATACAATGTTTCATGAGGAATTTTATCAATAGCATTTTAATACAAAGTCACTGCCATAGTTTGTTTGTAATTATATGGTAAGATGCATTTATTTATGTCCATTTTTGTACAATCTATGTTTGTTTTTAATAAAAGATCTTGGAAAAAATGATTATCAACATTTTTAGTCGTTAGCTCATCTGACCTGAAGGTCCATGTGGGTAATTGTTATATTATTTATATCATCTTTTGCTAACTTTTATGTTACAATACATTCAGGAACCAAAGTTGTGTGAGATCACAATTGAAATGTGTTAAGGAGGGGTTTATTTCCTCTTATTTTGGAAGTAAGATAAAATCATGAAGACATTCCTTAGAATCAGGGATATACTTTGTGACACAATATTAACAACCAATCAAATGAATTTCTGCTCTATTTCTGTTGTATTATTGATAATGATAATAATAATAACAATTGTAGCCGTTGTATGAAGTCTATACGAGGATATTTTGACCACTGGAACAAATATTATAGTATTTGTTCTTAACAGAATAATGGGTATTTGTTGCAATAGGAATTAACAAATGTATGACATTGTTTATAAGAAAGTTTCCAGGGGAACTTCTGTTAGGAGGAACAAATATACATTGACAATCGAACACTAAAGTTTTGTTATGATCTGTATGTGTTGCTTTACACTAAAACATTCTGCAGTTGAATTTAATAAAACTGTTTATTTCTACTAAATTGGGAACAAATAGAAAAATATTCCCCCAAAAAACAAAAATAAAAATCTCAAAGTATTTACCATATTGAGAAGTGATTCTTTTAGCATTGTACAAAGATTTAACCTGTTTCAGAAGTTATGTGCCTCTTATTGTCATTAAAGACAATGCAACAAAATTAATACATTTGTTTTCTACTCATGAACATCAATAATTTTCTATCATTCTGTATACTAAAATTTATTGTGCCATGTTTGTATAAAGCTTTATAATTTAGAAGGTACAGTGGAAAATCTAGTGACAAAATATTACCTCCCCTGTTAACACTGAAAACTATATCTTTTCAATGTTTGTCCCGTTTTAGCAAGGATGCCATCAATTATAAATTCACAGGAAAAAGCTCTGGTAAATAGTAAAAATAGAAATAAGTTAAAATAAAAACAAAATTTCCATTTAATGTTATCATTTCCCTCCTTAAATAGCAAACGACGAGTACAGCTGGCTATAGGAGCTTGATGTAAAATTGGTTTAAAATGTTGCTATGCAAATAAATCCTTGGAGTACCAACTTCAATTTATATTTCTACTGGCTGTATACCTCTCTGGAACATGCTTATTATCCATATGTATATGCAAATAGATCAGAGAAGTTCAGGGAAAAAATTTCAAAAGAATCAATTGATTCAAAGATTAACACTTTTGAAATTGAGTTACTAAGCAACTTCAAACGGACCTCATCCCGATGTAAACATTGAATGTGAATAGATCAAGAAGACCGCAAATACTTGTACAAAAATTGAGACAATTGGTATGACGTTGGCGTCGTTGTTGTCCGAAGACACATTGGTTTTCACACAGTAACTTTAGTTTAAGTGAATGGATCTCTATGAAATTTAAACATAAGGCTTATAACCACAAAAGGAAGGTTGGGATTGATATTGGGGGTTATGGTCCCAACTGTTTAGGAATTTGGGGCCAAAAAGGGGCCCAAATAAGCATTTTTCTAGTTTCATGACAATAACTTTTAGAACAGTGTATGGATCTCTCTGAAATTATACCACAAGTTTCCATACCACAAAGGGATGGTTAGGATTGGCTTTGGGGGGTTATGGCTCAAACCGTTTAGGAATTAGGTTCAAAAAAGTGAGAAAAAACAAGGGTGTCCTGGTTAATGGACAATTACTTAATTACAAATTATAGTGTAAGGGAGGTAATTCAAAAACTACTTTGAATTACCTCCCTTACACTGCTTTTAAATTATGTATAAAGAATTTTTGTATTGTCTTGAGGTGATTAGCTGTCAATTCATTTTTAGAAGTTACTATTTTAATAATTTTTAAAATGCTGATTAAGGTAAATTAATTTTAGCTATGATTATGTATGTCATTTTCTATATTAAAACTTTGATGATGTATTTTAATGGGTTATTATGGTTGCAAACTCCATTTGAAATTTGAATTGAAATTATGACCATGACTGAGGGAAAGAATTTTTTTTTTGGAAAAAGAGGGGGGGGGACAATTTTTTCTCCTCAAGATTTCAGAAATCAAAAAGAAAATCCTTCAAATTTTTTTTTTTTTTAAAAGTGGGGGGGGGGGGGGGGGGGAGAGGTCAATTTGCAACAGCATAGTGTATTGCTCAAAAGCAAAAAATTGAATATAAATTCAAATCATATAACCAATTCTAAGTTCTTTAAACTACAGTTATTCTGTGTCAGAAACCTATTATGTGTCAAATATTGAATTACAATCCAAGTTCAGACCTGTATCAAGCGCGAATATTGTGTCCATTTTTGCCCCAACTGTTCAGGGTTGGACCTCTGTGGTCGTATCCAGCTGCGCTCGGCAAAGTAATTTATCTTAAAATTGTATAAAAAAATAGTAAAAAACATACCTACTTCATAAACATATTTATCTTTAATTTTTTTAACCTGCACATACAGACTTAAATTGTTATATTCACGAAAAGACAATAATTCTATATTTGAATGTTCAAGTGACAAGGGCAGACCAGTGTACTTGAAAACTTAGATGTGAAAAATAAGAATATTTTGGGAAATTGTAACATGCTAAGTACTTTGTGGAACACCCTGAAAATTGATGACCCAAAAGATCTTTAGATTTTGTATGTACATGATTTTGTCCAATTTTTTTTTATCAATATGCAGCATAGATTAACATTTCTTAGACTTCAGTTTCACAAGCTTTTAATGCAATTATCTCGATATATACTGAACATAATACATCATGTATTTGCATGTATATTTCTAATAACACAGTTTAACAAATAATTTCTTTAAAATGTACAATTGTTGTTTGGAAATAACTTTTGATCAGTATTGTCACTAGCATTGTTTTATTATTGATTTTCTCAACTTTTTCATAAGAAGAGTGAATTTTCTATTGTTTTCGTTCACTAGATTTCCCACTGGGTAGAAGGCCTTGATGCTTCATACCTTGTATGTAGATGCTTTGTGTTACAAAGTCAGCGATAGCTTGAAGAAAATTTAAAGTTTTTTTGTCATGTGAAATTCTCACTTATTATGAGTAATAGGATAACTGTATTTAGTATATGGGATCCTTGCAAGGTCTATATGTCTGACAGACAGGGTTCACCTGACCTCAACCTCATTTCATGGATCAGTGATCAAGGTTAAGTTATCCTGGTCCCATATCTCAGAGAACATAAGCAATGTAGGGGCTGATCCAGCCATTTTAGAAAGGGGGTTCCAACCATATGTCCCAAAAAGCATTGATCGTTAAAAAAGGGGGTTCCAACCCCCGGAACACCCCCCCCCCCCCCCCCCCCCCCCCCCCCCCTGGATCCTCCACTGCAATAGGTCAACTATATTTGGTGTATGGAATAATTGTAAGGTCTACAGGTCTGTCCGCCAGGTTTCATCTGACCTTGATCTCATTTTCATAATTCATTGGTCGATGTTAAGTTTTGTAATAAGGTCCGTTTCTCAGATGATATGAGCTATAGGCTCACTATATTTGGTGCAAGGTGTACATGTCTGTTTGACCTCTGACTGGACCTGATCTTGACCTCATTTCCATGAATAATGTTAAGTTTATGCGGTACTTGTAGTAAAACCTTCATATTACAGACTTTCAACACAAGTTCAATCACAGTAAGTAAAGCAGCCAAGACATATCAGCATGTGCACTCTTGTTATTCTTTAAAAAATTATTTCAACTTAAATCTATGCTGGTTACTCTTTTTGTGTAAAAAAAACTAACATAATTATTATTTTACAACATTTTGATTTTTGGCATACAAATTCTTACAACCAAATAACAAATGTAAAATTTGTGTTAATCTTTCCTAGGTAACAGTCATACCTTTTCTTTTAATAAAATACTATAATTTTATTGGACAAATAAAGTTATACAAGTTATTTTATGGGATATATTTTTCTATGAAGTGCAATTTGTTTTGTATATGGATATCATTTTGTGATATCCTGCGTTTGTTATTACAGAATATTTATATTCAAATCCATGTAATATTAAATTATTTATTTCATGTTAATTTTGTTGTCTCTTTTCCAGTCTGCACCCAAGCAGCAAGGTTGACTTCTCTAACACGACTGGGAATTAAAAGGGTGTTTTTATCAGTTATTTAACTGGTTTCAGTTTCTTTGCTTCTAGTCTTGGTAAAAGTTGATAGACAATTACATTTTATGGTGTTTTCAGATAAAAGTAAATGATTTTTCTACAATATATATATTCGATAACAACAATTTGTCCTACCAGGTATTTTCAATGTAGTGCTGCACACTAAGTTAATTTTTTTATTTGATCTTTCTATTGAAAGTTGGGGAAAGATTTGAGACTTTATTATAGTTAGATCTTTACTTATAGTCCTATAAAGGTTAGCTCAGCTTTCCATTTCCTTTTCCTATTATCGGGTTTTTTGGGTTTTTTTTTTTTGGTTTTAATTTTTTTGGGGGGACAAGGGGGTGGGGGGGGGGGGGGGGGAGAGCTCCCTTCCAAATTCCCAAATAATTTGTTAAATTTGTATGTGATTAAATTTTAAGTTGATAAGACTTTAAACTGTTCCTATAGACTTTTCAAGAATTCCGAACATTGGTTTAAGTTGACTAATTCATAATATGTCTACAAATGAAATAGTTGCTTGTATATGCAACCTATCTTATACTATGACTGATTTAAATGAAACTTTCACAAATTCTCATTGTTTCTGTATAAATGGTATTAATTTTTGGGCTCGGCTGAGTTTTTCTAGTTGTTAAAACATTCTTTCATTGATGTATGTTTTTTTTGTAATTAAGACCAAAATATTTATAAAATAAATAACTTTTGTTACAAATGTTTTTTTGTTGTCACTTTCTTACCTAAAATGTGGAAAAGTTGTATTTTCAATACAGCAGTATGGATGATTCTATTAAAGCTTAATATCCTGTGGCATAAAGTCCTGTCATG